AATATTATCTCATTCAATCCTCATAACAGCTCAGTGAGGTAGGTACTATTGTTATCCCCATTTTACAGACAAGGAAACTGAGGCAGACAGAGGTTTAGTGACTTGTCCAGGGCTTAAGGCAGGATTTGAACACACGTCTTCCTGCCTCCAAGTCTAGCAGTCTTTCTGCTGTGCTGCCATTCCAGACTGACAAGTATGCCGGTAACTCAGGGGAATGCTGTGGATAGAGTGTCCTTGATTTTAGTAACCCAGGTGATAAAGTTTTAATTCTATTCTTTGGGATGAGATAAAGAGATATGGTTGGATGAAAGTACAATTCAGGTGGCTTTGGAAGTGGCTGGACCCACAGAGTGGTTACTCATGGCTCAATGTCACCATGGAAGGTCTTTAGTGGAAAGCCCCAGGTATCTGTGCTAGGCCCACTAATGATTCTGAGACCAGGCTGAATAGCATGCTCATCAAACTTGAAGACGGCCCAAAGTTAATAGAGAAATGAGCCAAACTGTGATAAGATAGGGCTAAGATCCAAGAGTTTTTGGCAGGTTAGAACAGCGGACTGAAGTTAAGAAGACATATACTTGGGTTAAAAAAAAATTAACTGGGGTACCTAGGTGGCACAGTGGATAGAGCACTGGCCCTGGAGTCAGGAGGACCTGAGTTCAAATCTAGCCTCAGACATGTAACACTCACTAGCTGTGTGACTCTGGGCAAGTCACTTAACCCCAGTAACCTTACCACAAACAAAAAAAAATTAACTTCAGCAATACTAAAAAGCAAAAAAATTCAGATCAATTCTAATAGGAAATGTTGGTTTCTAATGATTAAGGTTAAAGCACTTTTTCCATGAACAAAGGAAAAACTACAAAGATGAAAAGTGACAGGTACTGTCAGCTGGGTATTAGGCAATTTTGTTTAACTGTTTTTTTGTGGGTGGATGCTATGGAGAGTTATTTGTTAGGAAGTGACATGAGTCAAAACAAAACATACCAATTTGAAAACCATTTTTAGAAATTTAAAGAAGTTTACAAGGCCACCTCACAAGTACAAGATAGAGGAAGTATGGCTAGGGAGCCAGCAGTCCAGGACTGTGGTGTTGAGGACCTTGGTTCAAATCCTGCCTCTGATTCTAGCTGTGTAACCATAGGCAAGTTGTTTGACCTTCTGGGGAGCTGGTGAGAGGCCCCTCCAGGGCCGCTGGGGTCCCTTCTGGCTTTGGCTCTAGGACCTTCTGACTAGCTGGCTGCGAAGGGGCTCTTCCAGCTTTCAACTGAAAGTCCTCTTCCTGAGGGCTCATACCCGGGCACAGCCACAGCCCCCAGAACCTTGGAACAGATGGAGCCATTACTAGGGCTAGAGGGGCTTGGACAGCAGGGACTTCAGACACAGTGTGAGCTGGACCCAGAACCCACAGAGCTCTGCTGATAAGCAAACAGTTGTCGTGGTCGGAGCAAGCTGGTGAAATGCTGGGAAGTGCGTTCTAAGTACAGTGAAGCCAGTCTCTTTCTTCCTGGCCAGTTGAGCTGGAAAGAAAGTAAATCAATAAGGCCTTGCTACAGCCGGCATGGCCCCTGCAGGGTGCTGCCGACTTGCCCTGGGTGGGAGATCTCACCCCCTCCATTAGCGGCTGTGGGTACGACATGAGAGATCCCGTAGCCCAGCCGGGGAAGGGCTGTCAGAAAGTGCCAACACTTCATGCCAAAGGAGGACTCTCACTAGAAGCTAAGTCAGACCAAGAAGGTCTGTCTGGGAAAAAGAGAAGGAGGCGTGCTGGGCTCATGGTCCAGGGGAAGAAGGTTCAGAAAGTATCACCAGAGGGGCAGCTAGGTGGCGCAGTGGATAGAGCACTGGCCCTGGAGTCAGGAGGACCTGAGTTCAAATCTGACCGCAAACCAGACACTTGACAATTACTAGGCGTGTGACCCTGGGCAAGTCATTCAACTCCAATTGCCTAAAAACAAACAAACAAACAAACAAAAGAATCACCAGTAATGAGGCCCATGAGAATCGCCTCAGAGTGGACAGGAGCTCGGTGCCACCATCCAGCTAACCCTGACCCTAGCGTGTCCAAGCTCCCTCATATCATCTAGCCACAGACAGACACCAGGCCTCATCAACACAGGCATCCTGCCATCCCAGCCCCCATCTCCTTTTCACCTCCTGCTCTGGAATAATAATTAAATCGGTATTAACATTGCTAAAGGAAAGGATGTGACCATAAATTCCCTTGTGACTTTTAGAACAAAGTTCCGCCTCCTGGCACCCGTCCTATCTACTAGAAGGTAAGCTCCTGGGAGGCAGGCAGTGTTTGATGTTGTACTGCTCTGCCTAGCACCACCAGGTGGTGAGACAGCCAGCCAGCCTGCCTTGAAGTCAGGATGACTTGGGTTGGAATGTGGCCTCTACCACTGACTGTGTGCCCTGACGCACACGATATGACAATTCTATACCTCAATCTTCTCACCTATGAAATGGGAAGGTTGGGCCAGGTGACCAGGGAGGCCCCCTTCCAGCTCTAAATCTAAAATTTGGCTCTGAATGACACTGGTTAAAGTCCTCACGTGGGCTGTATGACCCTGGACAAGTCATTGTAGAACATGCACTCATGGGCATCAGTCCAGGGAGGTTCCTCACCAGGTGGCTCCTCAATGAAATCACAGCCCCAGGCAAAACATCCCTAGTAGTTCTTGTAATCCCTCTGTTGACTGAGGGATTAACTCTGGGAATCAGTACAGGGCACCTGTACTGAGCAGAGGTGGCTGGTCGACTGAACTTGCCCGGCGTGAATGTGCAGTTTGCAGCCTGTCGGGAGACACAGGGATGGTGGCGCCCCGTTCCACACCCCAAACGCTGTCAAGTCTCTCCAGCTAAGGTGGCCCCCAAAGCCCAGATATGGGGTGACACTGATGCAGACGCTGCTAAGGGATGGGATCGTGGCTGGAGAGCAAGCCCGGGGTTTCATCACCTAGAACGCTCTGCTCTACGCAGAAAAGGCCACCCAGTTGGTTTCTGGGGAGGACTCTCGCTTCTGACTGCTCTTCTCTGGAAACTGGGCCAACATCATGAGGCCACGTGGAGGGACGAGGAGCCCCACAGCACTGCATTCTCTCATTGGGCCACTGGCTGCATTCCCCAGGAAGGAAGGGGATGTGAGGCAGGGGCCAGGGTGACTGGAATCCCACTCTATTCAGGCCCATTCACTGGAATTGCGCTGATGGATGGCAACCTCTGAGCACGATTTTCCAGGCCTGGAGATTGCTTGCCAGGGTTCACTCTCCAGGTCAGGGAGATATTTTAAAAATAGGACAAGAAAGGATTACCAAGAAAGGACTGGGGGACGAACAGCCCTTCAGAGAACCATTTGCCAGGAGTCATTCTGAAGTTGGTGAAAGCCCCAAGATGTGAGCAAGCCCTCCGGGAAGGAGCAGCCCTCTGTTGGGGAAGCCACATGGATGCTTCGGAGGCACAAGCACTGCCCCCATCTATCCCTCTGTCCCCAGAGTCCCAGGCACCACCCTGGGCTGCCTCAGCTCCCCTTTCCAGAAAGCCAAGTTCTTTCCCACCCCTTCTCTTAGACGTAGCATCATCAACATGCTTCTTTAAATATCTCCTCAGGAAGACTATATTTAGTAGCTATTTGGCCCTTCAAACGGGGCTGATTTCCTGTGGTAACAAAGTTCTTAGCAACAGTGGAAAAGGCCTGCGGGATCCTGAAGCAACTGATGAAAAAAAACAAAACCCTCACCAAAAAAAGCATTTCTAAAGCTTGCTGTGCTCGAGGAGCGTGAGGATGGCTAATTGCCTTTTGGGGATAGGTAGACCTGGCACCAAGAAGGCTGGGATTCAGCTAGAGGAAGGAGGGGAAGAAATAACAGAGGAAAAGGGCAGGAGAGAGAGCTGACACACTGTGTTTAGTCTAATTCCTCGGCAGGTTGGTACAGGACTGACAGTTTCAGGGTGGCAGTTTGAGCTAAAATGTTACTAACTAACAAAGACCCTTTCAGGGAGGCAGAAGCCTGGCCCATTCATTCATTCATGTGTCAAATGCTAAAGGGCAGGGGAGCCTTCTAGGTGTAGAGTAGTGTACTAGAAGCCTTGGAGGCTGGATTTCTTCCCATGGAGACCTGGGGGGGGTGGAATTTAGAGATAGAAGATATCGATTTGAGTCCTGACTCCATGTGCCTGGGTGTATGGCCTTGCCCTCTCTGGACTTCAGATTGTTCATCCCTAAAACAGGAGGCTTGCATGAGATTTCAGTTCAATTGGATATTAGTGAAGCATCTGACCAGGTCTCTCAGGCTACTCTGGTGGACAAACAAGATGGCACGAGAAGGGCTGGATGTCAGGAAAGTTAGGTGGATTTGGGACTAGATGAGTGATGGGACCCAAAGAGTAGCTGTTACCCCAGAGCGTGATTATCTACCAATACTGCAGGCACAAGTGAGTAGCAGTAATGATAACCACAGCTAACATTTACATAGCACTTACCACGTGCCAGGCGCTGTGTGCTAAGTACCTTCACAATTATTATCTCATTTGATCCTCACAACAACCCTGGGAGGTAGGGGCTCCGATCATCCCCATTTTATAGATGAGGAACTTGAGGGAAATAGAGCGTAAGTGACTTCTTCCTGACTGCAGGCTTGGCATTCTATCTATTTACTACCTGGCTGCAATAACATTTGTCCTCTGATCTAGAAATAGGCAGCTAGGTGGCACAGTAGACGGAGTACCAGGCCTGGAGTCAGGAAGACTCATCTTTGTGGGTTCAAATCTGGCCTCAGACACTTATTAGCTGTGTGACCCTGGGCAAAGTCACTTCACCCTGTTTGCCTCAGTTTCCTCACCTGTTAAATGAGCTGGAGGAGGAAATGGCCAACCATTCCAGTGTCTTTGCCAAGAAAACCCCAAATGGGGTCACAAAGAGCAGGACGTAACTGGCCAGCAACAACTAGAAATGGGAATTTGGGTTGGAGACACGGACAAATGGACAATTAGCCCTCTTGTGTTAGAGCAGCCATCTTTATTGTTCATCTGCCATTGGACACACTTAGACAACCAGAGGAAAGACGCCAAACTAGGAGCTCCTCCCATCCAGGACCCCTGAGTCTGCTCAAGCTGGCCATGAATGTTGTGACTCCTAATTAGACTCACTTCTTCTTTCTCACTGCTAGAATGTGTTACCCTTGCCCTGAAGGTGATGGCCGTGCTTCTGCATCCATTCTGCCATCCGTATGTCCAATACCTGCCTGTCAGTGTCTCTGTCTCACGGTATGAGGCTCCTCCAGGCTGGCACCAGGCTTAGGGAGCTCCTGCACCTTGAACTTGGAGATACAATAAGAGATCCTGGAGGGGTCAATAGCAACTTGGAGTGAGAAAACATGGTGGGAATCGAGTGTGATCTTTGGCAAGTTAAGCAACCTCTCTGGGGCTCAGTTTCCTCTTCTGTAAAACAAAGGGATGGATTAAATGACTACTAAAGTTTGTGCTGGCTTTAAGCACTATGACCCTATATTCCTAAAAACCTGACAACCTGGTACCTAACAAATCCTTTGATGACGGTGCAGGAGTTGCTATCCTGGGAGGTGGAACAAGAACACCTCCCTAGCTTGAACCTATTCACTTTCAAGTCTAAGTTAATGTGTTGACACCCAGCAAAAAGCCCTGGGAGATGCAGGCTGTGGTTACCAAGAGATCAACACTCTAAGGACCATTTGGGGAGGCTCTGCTGGCTGTTTTCAGATTCAGAATTAGGATGATAAGGGGGATAGAGCTGGAAGTTGGCTCCATGAAGAGCCCTGAGTGTGGGATCATGGGCGAAATATTTAATTGTAGAGAAGTGATCCTGGCTGTCATCAAGGGAACATACAGAGTACTGGGTTCTGCCCTGGTCACTCACTTTTAACAGTCTACAGGCAATATAAGGTGTATGGTAGAGAGTCAGTCAGTCATCACTATGATTCCAGGGGCTACTATTTGCAAACTACTTTGAGCCCGTACAAATGGAAGGATGGGCAAGTTCTCACAAATGGTCTGGTTAGGGGACACAGATTCAAGAGCTCATAGAGAACAATGGAAGGCCTTTGAAATGATCACCTTGGGTGAGATATTAAAACAGAAAAATCATCTAGTCACAGACTCAGAGATTTGGAATCAACCCCACTGAACATCTAGTCCAACTTATACCCCAAAAAAGAATCCTGGCAAGTGGTCAACTAACCACTGCTTGAAGCCCCACGGTAGGAGGGCACGACCTCCTGGGCAGGATCGTGTCTGGATGGCTGTCATTACCAGTTCCTCCTGACCCCAGACCTAAACTTTCCTTTTTGCAATGTCCATGCATCACTATTCTACCCACTGGGGCCAAGGAGAATCATGGGAATTCCTCTTTCACATTTCAGTCTTTCTGTTCCTTGAAGACAGCTAGCTTGTTCTCTGTAAATCTTCTCCTTTTAGGCTGAATGGGTCTTCTTCCTTCAAGTGGTCCTACTATGCCACGGGTTCAAGGCCCTTGACCATTCTGGTGGCCTCTTCTGGACATTGTCCAGCTTATCAATGCCTCTCTTAAGCTGAGGCACCCAGAATGGAACACGATCCTCCCAGTGTGGCCCATCGCTTCCTTGTTCCTGGAAGCTCTCTCTGCATCCCAAGATGCTATTAGCTCTTCATGCTGCTGAGATGCAGTGTCTACTACAGCCTGTAGATTGTCTGCAGTCTATTTAATGACATCACTCCTCCCATTTTACAGAGGATGAATCTGAGGCCCAGCAGCTAGAGGGCACTTAATAATCATCTACACGGGCAGCCCTGTAAGGCATTCTGTCTCTGAGAAGGGCACTGTCCCCCAAGACTTCAACTTTGAAGACTAAGGAGTACTATTTATAGTTACTATTATAACAATAACTCCCATCTACAGAGTGCTTGGAGGTTTCCAAGACCTGGGGAGGGGGAGAGCCCACCTGCCTATGCATGGGGACATGGAGGGGGGAGCCCACCTGTCCATGCATGGAGACCTGGCAGGGGAGAAGCCCACCTACCTGTCCATGGAGATGGGGGGTGGAGAGAGTCCACCTGCCCGTGCACAGAGACCTCCGAGGAGGGAGCCCACCCCTCCGGAGGCAGTCCACTCTCCTTTGGGAGAGCTCCCGTTGTTAGGAAGCTTGCCCTGACCTCCAGTCCAAATGTGCCTCTTTACCAATGCCCCACTGTCCCTACTTCTGCCTTCTGGGCCTAACAGAACCAGTCCAATACTTTCCCCACATACTGGGGACCTTCAAATGCTCAACAGGTTAAATGCCCCCAGTTCCATCCCGGGTTCCTACTAAGCTGTGGACCCCAGGCCTGAAGTTTGGCAGAGGCAAACTGAAAGCTACATTTTCAAAGCACGGGTGGCAGAAGGTGTGGGTCTGAGACACCACACCACAAGAGGCTGGCCCTGAGCCTGTATTACCTCTCTGGGTCTCTGCCCTCTTCTGTAGAATGGGGACAAGCCTACGTCCACTTCATACCTCACAGGGTTACTAATGAGGCATCTCTATGTCACCATTAAGTGCTATGTAAAACATAAGCTAGCATTATCATGAAAGGAAAGACTTCAGAGCTCATCTAGTCCAATGCCCTTATTTTACAGAGGAAGGGAAGGACAGATACTGGAGAAAGATGGGGAAAGAAATGAAGGAATGACCAAATAAATGAAGGAGGATTCCCCTCTTCAGTGTTTCATTTAGAGGTAGCCAGTGGGTATCTACAGTGCCAGGCCTGGAGTCAGGACGACTCCTCTTCCTGAGTTCAAATCTGGCCTCAGAAATCTACTAGCCATGTGATCCTGGGCAAGGCACTTCACCCTGTTTGCCTCAGTTTCCTCAACTGTGAAATGAACTGGAGAAGGAAATGGCCAACTAGTCCTGTATTTCTGCCAAGAAAACCCCAAATAGGGTCATGGAGA